TGAGTCACTAGCTTCAGACGCACCTTATTGCACTGCATTTTATAACTAATCATAGTTTTATTATTGTAATGAGTGGTCATGCTCTTTCACACTTTAGTGTTTTTAATTATTTTATTGATTTATTGGTTTGTTTTCATATTATTATGTATGCGTTTTTATTTGAGATCCTTTTAACCCTTGAGAGTTAAAGGCATGTACTTTCCTGAATGTCTTAGTGAGATGCCTGTATTTGTTAAGAACACTTTATAAACAAAAATCTATTCATTTACAACACAAATCACACATTTCATAATACACGTGATAATCTTTCAAAAAAGGGAACAAGACTTTATGTTCCCACTCGACTCTGACTTTCAGTAAAAGCCACCACAAACGTTTCATCACTGCACTACACTGATATTCAGCAGTGATATATATAGTAACGTAAGCTGAACAGTGTGCCTCAACATACAAAATTCTTGATTAGTTAGCAGATAATACAATAGATACTTTATTGGAAAGTACAGAGAGAGAAATTCTAATTTCAATGACTAAAGGAAAGCTGTTAGTGTGTGTTTTCCAAACTTAGATGAGGGCATGGCTCCAAATCTTTAATGACATTTGTGACAGTAGTTTTGCAGTTTTTAGTATTGTGTTACCATGCACCTGCGTCTGTTGATTTAACCATTATAAAAAAAGTCACACAGGAATATTGGATGGGAAATCCAGAGCTACGTCTGTCCACCTAGTTGGCTTGAATCCCATTGTCTGACATTCTGGTGCCTCCTTTCATTTTCCTTATCTCAGTTCATTTGCCCCTTTTTACCTTTTCACTCTCAGGTTTTGAGACTCTAGGGATGATGGGTGTTTTACAATTTTCATAATCATTGTGTTTGTGTTTTTTGTTTGTACTTTATTCCACATGTCCCCTTATTGTTCTCATAGAGAGAGTTTAGTGTGTATTGAGGATCATCACACCTCTTTCAGTGATGACACGCACGTACGCACACGCGCACGCACACACACACACACACACACTCACACCACTAAATGTCATGTAGAGCAACAGGTTTCTGTGACTTCATAGTGATACTATGAGGATAAACAACATGGCACTACATATTGGATGATAAAAAATACTGAGCAGGAACTGCACAAAGCCTTGACTATTTCACCTGACATGCTAAGCTATTAAATTCATAAGGGATCAAAAAGTATCAGTTGATCACAGAAATAACTTTTTTACACCTAACACTTTTCATTTCATCTGATAACTCAGATAATAATAATTGGGACATTGTTTAGTCAGAGGGAAATTTGCTTCTTTTTCTTAAAACAAGAATACTTAATTCAAATAGTAACCACCCCGATGTTTCCACATGACAATGGGAATGCACTTACATCATTAATTGGTATTGTAAAAACAGCTGACACTGACACACACACACACACACACGTCACGCCTTGTCTATTGTTCAGCAAAAGGGGTGGTTAAAATGTAACTGAACTGTGTGATGTAGGGAAATGCCTCAGAGAACTAATGGGGAAATAAAAAACTAAAACAATACATACCATTAGTGTTAATGGTTTTATCCAGTGCAGTGTTATTTTTATATTGCAGCATCTGACGATCTGTGCAGAAACCAAAATGATGCTTTAAAATTAAAGTCCAAATAACCCATGATGAACAAATAGTAGTTACTATCTTTATAGGGCCATCACTGCCATGGAAGGTATAGAAGAAATCTTAAAAGCCTAGATTGAAGGGAAAATCTATTTAGATCTAAATCTACTTGCTTATATTTTTCAGTTGTAACTGGGTGTTTGGTTTCCAAGAATGGTTCTATGCATTAATAATAAAATAGGCCCCATAGTGCATCAGTGTTGCCATAGTGTTGTGTAAGTGACGGTTTAGCAAGACGTTCAAGTTAATTGTTTCTCACAGATTATTATTAATTATAATATCTAAATGTGCTGTTTTCTGCATTCAATTACCATTTGCACTGAACGTGCTTTAATTCTGTTCTTGTTGGTGGGTATGGTCAATGAGAGGCTGTGGTTCAGGACTGACCTTTGAACCCTGACAGCAAAATAAGTCAGGTTGAGTGTTTCTGTTGAAAGTTTCTATTTTATTTTTCATAGGTGCAGAACCCTGACTGAACAGAAATTCTGGAGTAA